CTCCAGCCTGGGCGACAGAGTGAGACTCCAACTCAAAAAAAAAAAAAAAATCAATGTCGCCGGGCTCAGTGGCTCATCCTGTAATCCCAGCACTTTGGGAGGTCAAGGCGAGTGAATTGCCTGAGCCGGCGGGTTTGAGACCCACCCAGGCAACTTGATGAGACCTCATCTCTACAATAAATAAAAAATTAGCCGGGTGTGGTAGCGTGTGCCTATAGTTCCGGCTACTTGGAAGGCTGAGGCGGAAGGATCTCCGGGGCACCAGCAGGTTGAGGCTGCAGTGGCCAGGAGCGGCCACTGCACTCCAGTCTGGGCGACGGAGTGAGACTCCAACTCAAAAAAAAAAAGAAAAAAATCAATAGCTCATGCTCTGTTGATTCCTCTGACTTTCTTGACTAAGTTACCTAAGAAAATAAACAAATGCCCCCTGCCCTGGTTTTAGGCCCTATATTAGGCCTCTGATCCCAGCCTGTTTAGCTTTACAGATTTGAGGAGGCTGTTCCTCGTTCCTGCCTCAGTTCAAGGTCCGGGGGAGCCTCCTCAGCATGCTAGGCTGGGGCAGCAGCAGGCCCTGGTGGGGGTTGCTGGTGCCTTCAGCACCAGCCAGAGCGTAACCTTGCTCAGTTCTACCTTTTCTGTAGTCCTTCCTTAAGGAAGCATCATCTCCAAGTGCCTCCCACATCTTGCTGTTCCCGGTGTCTGGTCTGGGGATGTGGCTGAGGGCACCTGTGGGGTCCCTCCAGCAATGTTGTTACCTTTGGGCATTTTTCTTTTAAAAATCTGGTCCCAGTCCAAGCATTTTCCATCATGTTTCTTACATTTCCTCCAGTTTCCAGACCTGTCCTTTGCTTCCCCATTGGTGGCTTTCCTCAGGAATTAGGGGCTGTGGCCACATCAAAGACTATGCCAGGGCCTGATGGCTGCTGCCCATGGGAGGCAACAAGTATGTGGAGGTGCGTGAAAGATTGCAACCCTCATGATAGGGACTAACTGGCGGGGGAGTGCAGAGGAGCATGGCCTTGGGAGCCCAGGAGACAGAGGGTCTCATCCTGTCTCATGGAGCCCCACTCCAACTCCCTGCCACCCCCCGCCCCATTCTCTGGTCTCCACTTCCCTCCTTCCTTATTTTGCTCACCCTGGTGCTCAAGGACTCATGAAAATCAGAGGCCCAAACATTAGTGCCTGAAAACCCACTAGAGGTGTTCTTTCCTGAGAAGTAGTTATTAGCTGCCTCCTGAGTGAATCAGTTAAGCCCGCTTGGTGACTGGACTCCAAAGCCCAACCCAAAATGACTGAGGCAAAAGGGACTTTACTGACTCATGTCACCCAGTGACCAAGGTCCAGGGCAGGTGGCTTCAGGCACAGCTGGCTTTGGGCTTTCTCAGAACTCTGTCCATCCTCTCTCTTCTTGCCTCTGTGGCTTCCTCTTCCCGGCTCTCCCACCAGGAGGCAGGATGGCCATCAGCAGCCAGAGGATTACCTCCTGCCACATTGGTGACCCTGCTAGAAAGGCCTGCACTCTGCTGATAGTTCAGCCAAGCTCCTGAGGCTCAGTGGCTGGGTAACATGTTCACTCTGGAAGCAGGGCAGGGGAGGGGCTTTCCAAAGGAAAGTCTACTGGATGTTGGGTGCAAAAGAACAACAAAGTTTGGCCTCCCCAGGCCAGGTCACCCACCCTTCCCCAGCCTGCTGGGCAGGGCCTTAATGCTGACTGCAATGGTCTGCCAAAAGTGGGTCAACATTCCTATCTCTGCATATCCATAGATAAGATACACATAGATGGGGGGCATACGAAGAAGGAAAACACTGCTACTTTAGACTCTGAAACCAGTAACTTTAACTTTTTTCGTAGGCTTATGTTTTAGTTGTCTGATCATGGCCCACACCTCTAATCCCAGTACTTTGGGAGGCCAAGGTGAGGATTGCTAGAGTCCAGGAGTTCAAGACCAGCCTGGGCAACATAGCCAGATCTCATTTCTACAAAAAAAAAATCCCAAAATTAGCCAGGTATGTTAGCAGGCAACTATGGTCCCAGCTACTAGGGAGACTGAAGCAGAGAGATCGCCTGAATCAAGGAGATAGAGGCTGCAGTGAGCCATGATCGTGCCACTGCACTCCAGCCTGGGCAATACAGTGAGACCCCAACTCAATAATAATAATAATAATAATAATAATAATAATACTATAAACCAAAGAGAGACCCCTTTGCTGAGGTACACCAGTCGGAGGGTGACTTCCTTCTCCTGCCCCTGCCCAACTCCTCTCAGATGGTGACATCCCCTCAGGCTCTGTTGCTCCTTCTCCCCCCAGGCAGCTTCGAAGCCAGCTCAGCCTTGTGGTCATCGCCCGGATGCTAGGCCAGCAAGAGACGCTCTCTCTCTGGCAAGAAAAGTCCCAGGTGAGTCTTTGCCTAGGCTGGGACAGGAAGGCCATGGCCCCGCTTGTTCTGAGGCTTTTCCTGAAGGAAATGATGCTAGGAGCGTCAGGCTGGAGAGCTAAGCTGGGTTGGAATTTTCTACTCTTGTGCTTTCATTCAAGAATTACTATTTACACACCTATCACGTGCTAGGCACTGAGGATAGAGCAGTGGGCTGGAAACCTATATTACTTTTTTAAAAATTGTAAAATAGGCTGGGCGCTGTGGCTCAGCCTGTAATCCCAGCACTTTGGGAGGCTGAGGCAAGAGGATTGCCTGAGCTCAGAGGTTCTAGCCTGGGCAACTTGGTGAGACCTCATCTGTACAGTAAAACACAAAAACTAGCCAGGCATGGTGGCGTGCGTCTGTAGTTCCAGCTACTTGCAAGACTGAGGTGGGAAGATCACCTAAGCCCAGCAGGTAGAGGTTGTGGTGGCTGTGAGCATGAGTGTGCCACTGCACTCCAGCCTGAGCGACAAGAGTGTGACTCCAACTCAAAAAAAAAATTACAGGCTCGGTGGCTCAGCCTGTAATCCCGTGCTTTGGGAGGCTGAGGTGAGTGTATTGCCTGAGCCCGCAGGTTCAAGACCCGCCTGGGCAACTTGGCGAGACCTCATCTCTACAATAAATCAAAAACTCAGCTGGGCGTGGTAGCGCATGCCTGTAATTCCGGCTACTCGGAAAGCTGAGGTGGAAGGATCGCCGGAGCCCAGCGGGTGGAGACTGCAGGGGCCAGGAGTGGCCACTGCACTCCAGTCTGGGTGACAGAGTGAGACTCCAATTCAAAAAAAAAAAAATTGTAAAACATACATAACATAAAATCTACCATTTCAACATTTTTTGTTAACCATTTTTAACTGGAGAGTTTGGGCCATTTCTCAGTGTATAACTCAGGGGCCTGAAGCACATTCACATTGTTGTGCAACCATCATCATCATCTATCTCCAGAACTTTTTCAGACCTTCTTCCCAAAGTGAAATTCCATACCTTTGAGACACTAACCCCATACTCCCTCTCCCCCCCAGCAGCTGGTTATATGACTTTTTATAAGTGGAAAAAGCGATCAAGATGAAAACAAATATTAAGTTAAAACTACTCCCTCCGGCATCCCTGGTCCTAGGGCTGGGCTTTCTTGAGGCAGAAAGGGCGTTAGAGCTTGGTCTTCCTTTCTTCATTTCTCTCCTCTCTGAAAACCTCTGACTGCAGCCTCCTGGTAGCTCAGAGGACATCACTTCAGAAGGCTTAGGAGCAGCATGGGTCACTGCCAGCCTGTGGATACATGGCAGTGAGGTTGAGAGCATTCTCACCTCCCCAGGTACCTCCCTGGAATCCCAGCAGAGTTGTTGGGTGCGATTGAAACTTCCAGCCCAGCAAAACTAGAGGGACAAGGCTCTCCCAAAGGAAGGCTGTGCATCTCTAGTCCCTGAGCTTCCGTGACCCCTTCCCAGAATGCCAGGGGAATATTCCAGCACATTCCCCAGGCAAGGTGGACCAAATGCTGTGGTAGGGAGCTTAGAGAGGTAACCCATTGGGTTGGGTTATCAGGGTAGCCTTGGCCTGGCTTTTAACCCAGTTGCCCCCTTTGCCTTGACTGCCTCCCCCCCAGGACTTAGCATGGCTGGAGCTTCTTGTCATTCCAACTCCAGCTGAAATGTCACCTCCTCAAGGAGGCCTCCCTAACCAACCAACCCCAAAGTGCCCCAGCACTGTCTTCACCCTGTCTTAAATTACTCGTGGTAGTTACCTCCTGCTGTTTTCCTGCTTGTTCAGTGTCTGTGTTCTCCACCCTCCCCTCACCCTCAGGACATAAGCCCCTTGAGAACAGAGAACAAATGGTTTCTGCTCCCCACTGTCTTTGGCACCCAGCAGTGCCTGGCACACACCAGGAAGGCAGTGCATACTTGTGGAAGGAAGAGACACCAAGGCAGATTGTCAGGACCAAGATCTTGGGAGGGGTGGTGAGGAGGTGACCTGCATACAGGTCACTTCACAGATGGTCTCTAAGAAAGAGAGAGAACAGAGGGACCTAACGGTGTCATCAGGGACACCCAGTGGTTAAGGGCAGGGGCAGCAGAGATGCAGTGAGGGGGCACATGATACAGGGGCCACAGAGAGCTCTGGAAGACAGCCTATGGACAGGCACGATGCAGAGTGGAGGTAGGAGGGAGGATAAGGAAGCAGCACTGGCAATGACTGGAAAAAGAGAGGGTGGCTCCAGGACCAATTCAAGGCTCGAGGTTTTTCTTTGATTGATTGGTTTGTTTGTTTGGCCAGAACCTGTGCAGAGAGAGTGAGGGGAACATGTTAGGGCTACATTCCTGCGTTGTAGCCAAGGGGAAGCATCATGGAGGAAGAGCTGGGTTGTGTGGGCCTGGAGGGAGCTGAGGTGGGAGGATTGCTTCAGCCTGGGAGTTTGAGGCCAGCCTGAGCAACAAAACAGAAACCCCATCTCTTTTTTTTTAATCTTAAATTTTTAATTCTTTCTTTACAGTTTACCTAGACCACTTTTGATTAAGAAAACTGTAGAAAGTTAGTAACTGCCACAAGTGTACACCAGGCGGTGGCACGTGTCAATTTTCCACAGAGTCCTGCTTTGTGGGATGTCTGAATGCACTGCTTGGGGTCTCTGCTCATACTTGCTGGAATCAATCGCAGCAGATTTTAGTCCACAGATCGCTTTTCCCCATATTTCTTTGTAAACTCTTCAGCGTTCTTACAGAATTCTTTACGGTCCTTAGAGTATTCTTCAGCTAGGTCAGCCCGAAGAGGGTGCTCGGGCTGGGGGTCGTTCACCAGTGCTATGAGGGACTGGATTTCTTGGTCGATTTTGGTTGCTGGCTTCCAGTTTTCAGCACTAATTACTGGCAGACAGACCTGCCCCTTTTCATCAATGTTTGGGTGATAGATCTTTGTTTTAAATGTGATCTTCAGTGGTTTGAATGGGTACTCTGCTGGAAAGTTGATTTCCATTCTGAAGTCTCCCTTATCATATGGAGGGTTGTCAGGAACAATAAGCCCTTGCCAGGTCAATAAATTAGCTTCATCAACCTGGATGTTATGGAAGTTTTTCATTCCACATTTGCGGACTTCTTCGAGCTCCTTCATCAGCCTCCTGCTGGCCGCCCTCTTGAATCTCCCCATCTCTTTACAAAAAAAAGTAGGGGCGCATTGGGTGGCACTGCCTCCCCTTCAGCCATCCTGGCCCAAGAGGCTCCCAAGGGGCTGGGATCTCGAAGCCTGTCAGGGCCGAGCCAGGTCCAGCCTGGCCTTTGTGGTTCCTAGCCTCAGGGCAGTTCTACCACACCCTTTGTACCATCTGCTGTGCACCCACCTTGCACCCCTATTTTCATTAGAAGCTACCCGAGCAGCTTGCATGCAAGGCTGTGCACCGGGCGCCGACAGGACCCAGACGACCTCAAAAGAGAGGTGAGCAAGCCGGCTGTGTCCACAGTGACTAACTCTGCCTAAGGACAGTGAGTCGCTTCTAGAGAAGATGCCCCGAGCCAGGTCTTGGAGGACGAGTCAATGCTTGTACTGCAAAAAGGGAGCGAGAGATTGGGAAGATTCGCGGTGGCTGGAGGGGTAGGAAGGGCCAGTAGGGGCCTGCCCACAGCCTTTCTGGTGTGCTTCCCCATCTACCCTACAAGCCCGGGTCTGCTCCACGGCCTCCTCCCAGGTCTCTGGGCTGTCAAGCACTCCCCTTCCTGGTCAGGCCTGTCAGGCAGATTTTCCTGAAACACGCCTTCAAAGGGCCACCTCGTCCCCACAGCCGCCCACACCAGCCTGTATGCCCTCCCTCCCAACATCTCCTCCACATGACCTGCCGGTGCTGCCTGTTCTCCTTGGCCCCCTTGCAGGCCAACCCAGCCCACCCTCTGCACACAGCTCTGGCTGTGCACTGGTGCATTCTTCCTTTCCACCTGCCACACCTCACCCACAATAGCGGCAGCTACCACATGTGCAGCACTTGGCTATAAGGACTGTTACCATCATCTGTATTTTATAGATGGGGAAATTGAGGCAGGGAAACATCTCAGGGGTCACCCAACAGGGAAGCAGTGGAGCTGGGATTGATGTCCTGCCCTGGACCACCACAGCCTGCCACCTCAGCCTCTCCATCCCCTTCCTTGGCCCTTGGCAGCCTGGACCACATCTGCCACTTCACGCTGAAGGTGCCCTGCTGGCCTCTTGAGCTTTGGTCCTAGATCACAGACAGGAGGACAAGGACTATCCCTTCCTCTCCCTCATCAATGCACAAGTGCTTAGTAAATCTTATCAGCTGAGAATTGACTGGTGTAGGAGATCCAACAATTAAGTTCATGAACTCATCCTAGAAAAAGTGTTACATACCTCATTGCTGAATATCACTAAGTCACCTTTGAAGTACTCCCGTACTCTCCCCGGGAAGCTATGCACCAACACGAGCACCTAGTCCACCCATCAAAGCAATTTGGGAACTCTTTTTCTGGAATGGCCATCAGAGCTGTCATCATATTACCCTTGATGTCCTGAATGTCATCATAATGTCTTCCTTTCAATATTTCCTTCATCTTCAGGTAAAGAAAAAAGTCATCGGGGCCAGGTCAGGTGAATAGGGAGGGTATTCCACCAATACAGTTATTTGTTAATTGGCTAAAAACTCCCTCACAGACAGCGTTGTGTGAGCTGTTACATTGTCATGATGCAAGAGCTCCTTTGGGATCATTTTTGCACACACCTTTCTCATGCCAAAATTTTCAGTTAAGATTTTCCTAACTGTTTCTCTGTCGATGTTTATTTGGTCTGCTTTGCTTCTTACAGTCAGTCAATGATTTTGACGACAGGTTGCCACATTTTTGCTATGTTTTTATCAGTTCTGCTTGTTACTGGCCATCCTGACTTCTCTTCATCAGTGATGCTTTCTCTCCTCTCAGAAAAACATTTAATCCATTTGTATGCTGCCGTTTTCTTCATGGCATTACCTGCATAAACTTGGACTAACATGTCCCTGATTTCACTTCCAGTCTTACCAAGTTTAACAAGAAATTTAATGTTTGTTTGTTGTTCTAATTCATACTCCAGCATTCTCACAATGACAGCTCTGATGGCCATTCCAGAAAAAGAGTTCCAAAATTGCTTTGATGGGTGGATTAGGTACTGGTGTTGGTATATAGCTTCTCTGGGGGAGTACTAATATGGTGACCATAGTGATCTTTAGCAATAAGGTATATAACACTTTTTTTTTTCTTTTTGAGTTGGCATCTCACTCTGTCATCCAGGCTAGAGTGCAGTAGCATGCTCACGGCCATCCCAGCATTGACCTGCTAGGCTCTAGTAATCCTTCCACCTCAGCCTTCCAAGTAGCCGGAACTACAGGCGCACGCTACCATGCCCAGCTAATTTTTTATCTATTGTAGAGACGAAGTCTCGCCAAGCTGCCCGGGCTGGTCTCGAACCCACGGACTCAGGCAATCCACTCACCTCGGCCTCCCAAAGTGATATAGCACTTTTTCTGGGATGTGTTCAGGAGCTACATTGCCAGACCTTGTAGGAGCAGAGGACCTGGGCTTGGATCTGGACAGAGGAATCTGCAGGGCACCTCTGATCAGGAGGAGTCAAATTGCTTGGCTTTGCATCTCCTGCAAGCTGCAATCTGAGGCCTCAGGAGCAGACGCTGGAGAGCTGAACTTGAGGGACAGGACTTCTATAGGTGGTCAGGAAGCAACAGTGCCCAGGTTTCCGTTTTCCAGAGAGCCTCAGGGTCAGACTGTGCTTCCTGTTGCTGCTGGGACATGGGAGTGTCCCAGAGACAGCAGTGTGTCAGCTTCAGGCTCCAGTGTACTCCAGGCACTGTTCTGGTCCCTGAAGACACAGCAGAACAGAACTTAGTCCCTCCCTCAGGAAACTCACAGTCCCAGGGGAGGCAGACAGGGACACCAAGAAAGAAGGAAATATTTGGAATATCAGATGGTGATAAGTGCTGTGGAGAAAATTAAAGCCAATAAAGGGGAAAAGGAGTATTGGGAGGATGACATTTTATAAGGGTGAACAAAGAAAGGGACATTGGAGCACAGACCTGAAGGAGTCAGGTAAGTTTCTTGGTAAATAACATTCCAGGAGAAGGTATAGCAAATGCAAAGGTCCTGGGGCAGGCAAAAGTCTCTTCGGCTGGAGGAAAAACAGAGAGGCTAATGTGGCTGGAACAGAGGGCTGAAAGTGGAATAGTAGGAGTGGTCACACAGGTAACTGGAGGCACAGTCGACCAGAGCCTCGAGGCCACAGTAAGGGTTTTGACTTCCGTGGGGAAGAGGAGAACCCCTGGGAGATTTTCAGCAGGGGAGAAACAAAATCTGATATGTAAAATCTTTAAAAATTACTGTGGCTGCTTTGTTGAGAATAGACTATTGGAAGTGGAGAGGAAAGAGGTGATGGCAGCAATCCTGGTGAGAGCTGATGGCGGTTTGGCCCAGGGAGATAGATAGCAGCGCAGGTGGTGAGAAGTGGTCAGATGGTGGGTGCATTTCCCAAGTACAGCCCGCGGGATGGCGACATGAGAGAAGGGAGGTGAGGACTCCTAGGCCTGCAGCTGGCATCACGGAGACGCCCTTAACTTAAGACACAGGCAGAGCAGGTTTGGGGAGAAAATCGGGAGTTTGTTTCTTATCACAGGCTGCCTCTTGCAACACTGCAAACCTCTATTGTCAAACCATGTCTTCCAGTTTGGGGCTTGGAAAACATGGGCTTCAAGTGGCCGAAATCAAGGTGGGTGAAGTTTGCATCTACCAAGGAAAGGTTAGCTGCGGTGCTGACCATATCCATTCATTCATTTCATCATGACTGTATTCATTCATTCATTCATGACCGTATTCATTCATTTACTTAACAAATGCTTCTGACACGTAACGCCACATGCTAACTTCTGGGAACATTGCCATGAACAAAACTGCCCTCAGAGAGCTTAGACTCCAGTGAGGAAGGGAAACAGGTAATAAATAAGCAGGTGAATTGAAAGACTGTCAGAAGGTGGTGACTACTGTGGACAGAAGGGCAGGGTAAGGGGGTGGATAGGTGCGGGGTGGTGTGGGCTGCGGGGGGAGGTGGGGAGATGGGGAGCTTGGGCTGGGAGCTCACTGATAAGGTGGGCATGGTGCACAGGCTGGAAGGAGGAGGGGGCAGACTTGCAGTGTCTGGTCAGAAGGCCAAGTCGGGGGCACCAGCTCCAGGAAGCAATAGAAAGGTCCTTGGGACCACCTGGGGCCTTGCAGACACTTGAGATCTTGACTTCCTCCTCTGGGTGAATAGGAGCCACTGCCAGGATTTGAGCACAGGAGTGATATGCTGTGTGGACAGTTGCTTCTCTAGAAGTCAGCTTGCCACCTCTTGCTAGCCTCTAACCTCTGGCAAGGCCAGTGGAGGCCTGTCTTCCTGAGTGATCATTTGATCATACCTTAGGTGCCTGCCTTCATGGACAGTGAGGTGGGGTGAGGGTGGGAAGGATACTGGATCCCCCCTGAGGCCCAAACAAGACCTTATCTTGTTTGAGGAGAGGCTGGCTGGAGCATCCCGAGCTGGAAACAAAAGAGAATAAGCAATCAGAAGGCACCATGGCAGAGGCAGATGACTTGCTGCGCTGAGCACAGCAAAACTGTTTTCATGGAGCCAGAGGAAAGACACAGGAGCAGGCGAGCAGCAAGCGGTTGTCTTGTGCTGCTGGCCCTCTGCAGGCCCACTCGGGCCTCCCGGAGCAGGGAAGGTCCGAGCTGGGCGAGGCCTGACCGAGGGCCACTCTGGGGGTGTGGGCTGCAGAGCCTGGCCCCTGGGCTTGCACAACTGTGAGCCCTGAGCGGGCAGGGCTGTTTTGGAAACTATCCCGACTTGCGAAGCCTAAGCAAGGCAGCATAGCCGTGGCTTTGGTGAAACCCCAGATGGTGCCTGTCTTTGACCAGAGCCTTCCCCTCTTTCCCCTGGCCTTCTCTTTTCCCCTGCCTCCTCTTTCCTTCTAAAGGGATCAGATACTAGGCCAAGAAGCTCTGGCCTCCTTCCAGAAGCCGAGGCTCTGGGCCTGACTCCTAGCCCCAGCCCAGCTGCTCTTGTGGGTTGTCTAAGCCTGTGGCTGACTGGGGTGCTGAGCAGCAGGTGTTGGCGGGTGAGTCACCGGAGGAAGCCAGGTGTGCCAACCTGATTGGGCTCAAGCAGGGAGCTGGGCTGAGGGGCTCAGGCACCTGTGTGATCTGAAGAACTGGTGCCTCTGTTAACTGCCTTGGCTTTCTGCTCCTGCAACCTCCCCCACCCCCAAGGTTACACATGGCCTTCAAGGGGCCAGGGGCCCTGAGCCTGCCTGCCTCTGCCTTAGCCTTGAGTTAGCTCCAGGGCAGCAGGGCAGTCCTAGCTGGAGCTCAGCCGAGCTGCCCGAATCGGATGCATGGGCTGGGCCCGAAAGAGTGCTAGCAGTAGACACCTGGATTTATGCAGGACATGTTCCCTCCTGAGGGGCTCAGGGGTAGAGTAGTTTCTTCAAAAACTAAATAGGGGGTGGGTAGCTAGTAGATTAAGTGACATGTCACTCAAATGCCGTGTGTGGACCTTGTGAGAAACCTCCATTCAAGCAGACCAACTGTAAGAGGACATTTATGAGGTAGAGAAGACTGACCACAGGTATTGGATGATTATAAGGAATTCTTCATAATTTTGTTGGGAAAGAAATGGTATTGTGATTATATTGAGGGAAAAATCCTTATCCTTTGCTGTTAGAGGCTCTTTATGGGTAAAACAATACAATGTTTATGTTTGCTTTAAAATTCTCTGGAAGGAAAAGGGCAGAGAGGCGTGGAAGGGAGGTGGGTGATGAAACAGGCAGGACAGAATGACAGGTGGAGACAGTACACAGTCTCTCCTCTTCATATATATTGAGAATCTCCACAGCGAAGAGTTAAAAGAGGGTGCAGAGATGAGTGGGCTGTGGAACGGTGGCTCAGGGTGGGCAGAGTCCTCTGTGTGCGTGTATGAACCTCCTCTCCTGGAAAGAAGGTAGTGGCCCATTTTACAGATGAGAACACTTACGCTCCAAGAAGCCACACAGCTCATAAGTGAGAGGTGGATCCGGGTTCTGGAAACTGGCACTCTGGCCCACGGCTACCAGCCGAGGTATCCAGCCCAAGAGCCCCCGGAGCAAACTGAGCTCTTGGCCACCCTGCCCTCTGTGAGTGACAACCTTCTTTCTCCTCGCCAGCTGTCCTCACTCAGCCGGTTCCTAAGCCTCATGAGGCCGTCATCCCTGGGGCAGTACCTGGGCTCTGTGCCCTTGTCACCCAGCCAGGATCAACAGCCAAAGGCCAGAGTCGAGCTAGACCACAAGGTAAGCACCTAGCACCTGCCCACATCTGCTGGGGCTCTGCCACTATAGGTAGCGGGGGAAGGCAGGACTGTCCGCATTGCACAGCCAGCGGGTCCTCTCGGACCAGGACAGGGCCGTGCCAGGACAAACACCAACAGTCTGCCTCCCCGTGTTGAGAGGAGGTGCTTATCATCTCTCCATAGCCTGTAATTAGTGTCCTTGCCCACACTGCTTGCACCAGCGCAGGGGATGTCGCGTGCTCAGGCATGCAGGCTCAGCATCTGCCTGGCCCTGCTCGTGTGCTCACTGCATCCTCCATGGCCTGGCATGGCTTCTCTTGGTTAGTCTCCCAGCACAGTTTAGGGATGTACAGTGCTGGTGTAGGGCATGGGGGGATGGGAGCACATCAGAGGGGAGTGCAGGAGTGTCAAGATGTGAGGGGTGAACCTCCTCCCACAGGCAGAGCTGGGCCAAGCCTCCCTGTTCTTTTTCACTACTTTTTCACTGAGGCTGAGTCCTTGGCCTGCCCCCAGTCCTTCCTAATTGACTTTCCAGACATTGCCTGGCTCTCCTAAAAGCCAAGCTTTGGCGAGAGTCAGGGGCAACAGAGTGCTCCTGAGCCTGGAGGTTGTGGGGTTTGGAGCAGTGAAGGCTGTGGGTCCCTGGGGTGAATGTCAGAGCAGGGATGGGGGTGAGTGTGGGGGCTTCGGAGTGGGAGTCCCAGGCCCAGCTCCTTGGGGAACAGGGTGAATCTCGGAGTGCTCCCCTATCCCTGGGGTCTCAGGGATGAAGAAGGGAGATAGGGATCATCCTAATTTAGAAAGGTGGTAATTCCAAAACTCACTCAGAGGCTGGATGTTGACACTCCAGAAGTCCAACCTTTGGGCATCACTCTACAAATCAGATAAATGAATTAATTACTTAATGAACACAAATGAACCATTAAGGAGATAGGCTAATCCCCAGGTGCATGCTCCTCTTCTGGAACGGGTAGGGAAGGTTATCTTTCAGTTGTGCCTAATGTTAGTGCATTTATGAGGCTGCTGCCTCCCAGGAGAGTGTGAGCTGTCTGCGTGTCCCTTCTCCTTTGCCAAGTATTTCCCTGGAAACTGCAGCTGGTTATGGAGGCTGGCTATGGGGCCTCTGGAGAGGAAGGAGATCGGCCCCAGGGGGTGGTCTGTCTGAGCAGGACTCAAGGAGTGGGGAGAGGGGAGCAAAAAGAAGGGGAGCGGTGAGAGGGGAAAGCAGAGGCTTGTGTTTGGTCTGTCCCAGTGAAGAGCCTGGCCTCCAGGTGCCTTGGGGCCAGTCCCGGTGTGGTTCCTGCCAGGCTCATTGCATTTCAGAGCATGTCTGGCAGCAGGCAGAAGAGCCGGGAAGGGGGAGAATTTGAGGACTGTTCTCACACATGTAAAGGAGGCTGGATGACTGGCCCCAAAACAGGAGAGGTCGGTGCATCTTGGCAGAGTCCCCAAAGTGTAGGTGTGCTGGTCCAGGGCAGTGGAGGGATAGATGAGGCAGCTCTCAGAATGCCTTCAATGCAGCCTGAGACTGCCTTAGATCCTGCTGGGCTCCCCTCACTTCTGCCCCCCAAAAGAGAGAGAGCCCAGGCCAGAAGAGGGTGCACAGGTGGAACAAAGTGTGAAATGAACTGTATTCTGTCCCCTGGGTTGCACACTGTTCTGACTGGGAGGGACCAGGTGGGCAGGTGACTAGGCCCCCACTCCCACCTTGGCCAACCGACTCCTCATTAGGCCCGAGCGCGTTTCATCTTCAAAGAGGGTAGATGGGCTACTCACCAGCCAAAAGGAGCCGCAGCGTCATCCGCCCTGTTTTACAGGGAGTGGTGGTCTGGGCTCAGGCTGAGCCTTTCATCCCCAGAGCTCAAAGTCTTTGCCTTTTTATTCCCCACCATTGCACTGGGGAAACTGAGGCCAGAGTGAGGTTGGCCTGAGGCAACCCAGCATGAAGGAAATGGCCACATTCCCAAACTTTGGGGCTGTTGTGCTGTGCTGAGCCCCTGCCTCTCAAAGCCTGCCCATCCCCCAGTCCCCACCCCCCACCCCTGTCTGGGAGATTTCCTGCCCTACACGGCTGGGTCACAGCCCTCCTCCAGCCCTGCAAATAAACACTTCTGCCAGGCTCCTCTCCCCACCTCCTTTCCCTGCCTCCCACCTTGGCCCAAGCTCCTCTCTCCACTGGAAAGTGGTGTGAGAGCTGCTCCCTGGTGCCCAGGGCACAACTTGCTCTCCTTCCTGATCCTGTGGCTTCACAGTTGTTCCTTAACTTGCCTGGTTGTCCAGCTAGGCAGTGGGCACAGCCAGTGTCTCTCAGCGTTGCATTATGCATTTGGTACTGCATGAATGAATGAATGATCAAATGAATGAATGCAAATTTTGACTCCTCTCTCCCTCTCTGAACTCCCTTCTTCCACCCTGTTTTGGCCTTCCACTCTCCTGCCGCCTGCATGCCATCTGACCAGCCTCTGTATGGTGGCTCCGTCGTCTCTTAAGGTACTTGTGTCATTAAGGTGACAAGAATTTATAGTCAGAGCTTCTCCTGCAGGAGCCTTGGATTTCAGAAGTGTTACCTGCAGCTGCTAGGAGAGACCCAATCCACAACACTGTAATTATAAGCTAGTGAGGGAAAGCTAACCACTGAGTACTTTAACAAAAGAAGCAACAAGCTCCTGCTGCAACACTGCCTGGGGGTGGGGAGGTGGAGAGGAGGCCGGGGCAGGTGTGGGTCCCTGTGCTGGCTGTTTGTCCCAGCTTGGTCAAAGTCCTAGCTTAGCAAATCATGGTAGACCTTGTATGGAATATAAAAGCTCCTATGGAATATTCCTGCTTAACAAGCTGATTAGAATACTTTCAGCATTTTAAAGAGCTTCTGGATAAAGAAACTGATGGCTGAGCCCCTTGGTGGTTATCCTTGGCTCTGTGTGTGCCTGATCTGAGCTGAACTCTCCCAGAAAAGAATAAATTCTGGATCGGCGTGATGCATGGGGTGCAGGGTGGTGGTGGTGGGGGGTGGTCTGGTACAGCCCACCTGTTTGGTAGAGGATGTTTTCACAGAGGAGAGTTTTTTTGTTTGTTTTTTGAATCAGAGTCTCACTCTGTCACCCAGGCAAGGCAATCCTTCTGCCTCAGCTTCCTGAGTAGCTGGAACTATAGGCGCGCACCACCATGTTGGGCTAATTTCTTGACTTTCTTGTAGAGATGAGGTCTCGCTATGTTGCCCAGGCTAGTCTCAAACTCCTGGGATCAAGCAATCCTCTTGCCTTGGCCTCCCAAAGTACTGGGATTGATGACAGGTGTAAGCCACCACACCAGCCTCATAGGGAAAAGTTAACACAGGAGAATATGATACTCAGTGTTGCCCTCCAAATACTTCCCTTTGGCCCATGGATACTGACTCTGCAAGAGCCCATTGCATTCATTGCCTTCCCAGCCTTCATTTTCAAGACTGTCCATTTGGCCCAGACAGACAAACGTTGCCTAACTTGACTCAGTTTGCCACTGTTTCCTCAAAGCTAATAGCTCAGCCCTCAAACCCAGAACCAGGGACTTCCTGGGACATTTCATTTTCTTTTACTGACTTGCATAAATCGTATCTGGCCACATGTTGTTTGATTGTGTTCTGTCCAGTCTCAGGGTCATGACTGATATTTTGGTCTTGTCAGAGCTGCCATTGTATAGTATGTTCCTATTTACCACACTTCCCTAGTATTTCTTGATTTTCCTGTGCCTTTTACTATACTGATAGATATACTGAATGGGATTTTTAAATTCCATTTTTCCCCTTAGGGATTTGTGAAGTATATAGAACCAGGATCATTTTTAATTTTATTTTTGAGTCGGGGGTCTTACTCTGTTGCCCAGGCTAGGGTGCAGTGGCATGATCACAGCTCACCACAGCCTCGCCTTCCTGGATTCAGGCGATGCTCACACCTCAACCTCCTGAGTAGCTGGAACTGCAGATACGTTTCACCACACCCAGCTAATTTCTTTTTCTCTTTTTTTTTTAAGAGGTGAGGTCTCACTATGTTGCCCAGGCTGGTCTCGAATTCCTGGACTCAAGCAATCCTCCTTCCTTGGCCTCCCAAAGGGCTGAGATTATAGTCGTGAGCCACTGTACCCAGCTGGAACCAGGATCTTTAATGGTGGGATGGAAATTTTTCCCTAGTTGGTTAGATTTGGGAACTGTGAGGAAGTTAACTATTTCCCGTTGTGTGGCAAGAAAACTAAGGCCACCGGAATTGGGGCAGAATTGAGGCACCAGGAGCCTGGTTCCTATCTCCCTAGGAACTTCTAGGGTGTGTCCTCCTCCCAACCTGCAACATCCTCAAAGGATGACAGCCTGGGATCTCTCAGGATTCTGTCTCTGTGATGGTCCCTGGAGGGGATGCCACTCAGAAGTGGCAGGAGCTGCCTGCAAGTAGCTCTAGTCAACTTCCCCAGGAGGCACACCACTTAAGCTCCCTGCTCTGTGCTCCTGAGACCTGGGGCTGGCTTGTCTGTGTGTGTGTAAAGAGTTTGATTGGGGGTGGATGTATCCTGCCCAGCTTGGGTGATGCTAAACTCAGTCCAAAACTCAGCCCAGCTGCCCTGACTCCACTGAACTCTCTCTGGTGTCTGCCCATCTTGTGCAGAGGGTGTGGCCTACTGTGTGTTTGTGCGTGTGAGCTCGTTTTGTACATCTCCTGTATATCTTTGTGGTGTGGAGCATGTTGATCGAGTTGGCGAACAAGTTTTACTGCTTTTGCTCTGGCTGCTGCGACTGCAGCTGTCTGTCCCTGTGCCCTGCCAACAGCTGCCTTAATGGAGGCTGTGGTGGGGAGAGGCCCTGGCTCTCACTGCGGGACAGGGCAGGGAGGGTGCCGCTGCCTCTGTTCTCTCTTGCGGGCATACTCAACTCCAGCAAGGGGACGTGTGTTTCCTTGGGCACAGGCCACTTGCCCTGTGTTACCCTGAAAGGCAGATGGAGCCTCTGCCCCTACCTCCCCGCTCCCCATGAACTCTGCC